CCCAGCCTGGACATTATAAAAGCAAGCAGATGCCTACTTCACTCAGTATAATCAATCTACCCTGTAGCTGCTTGAGTCTCAGTGTTAAATGGGTCTCAGGATACATGTGACAAGATGCTTTTAAACTGGGATTTTCAACACACTTGTAATAGAAACCCTTTTGAAGTTCCCAGGGAACAACATTCTCTTTTTAGTTTGTCAGTAGACACCAGCACTGCTGAACTTCAGATGCATCATTAATGAAAAGGATATGTGTTCATATACCTTACAGCTTGATTCCCAAATAATTGCCACCATTTTAATAGGTGTTAGATCCAGCAGCTCTTACTGAGTTTACTAGATGGTGTGAAGCACTATCCAGTTTGGCAAATTGGAGGTTTATTTAGGAGCCCAGCTTTTGGCACCAGCTTTTGCAAAACTTGGCCACGTTTCCCACATAATGTTAACACAGTCACACTGTATGTCTCAGCATTGTGTGAGATCCACACATCCAGCACTCTGCTAAGCTGCAAATTTAATAAGACAAGTAAAAAAAAGGAGAAAAGCTTACATATGTGTGGTGGTGTTAATTTAGTGTGTATTTGCTTTTATTTAAGAAAGATTAGCCTTAACTTACCACTGTGTGACCACATTCAGATACAAATAACAGGTGAGGAAAGAGAAGGCATCTTTGTAGATCACGTGGGATCAGGACTTAGTTCAGAGTGATTACTGTCAAACTGAGCTCACACAGAAGGCATTTCAATAAATTTAAGTAACTACTGATTTTTCAAGAGATTTGTGCCCATAGAGTGTGCCCATATATTACTGTGTGCCCATTTTATGTGCCCATTATGTGCCCATATAATACAGCAGTTCTATAGAGATGCCCTTAGCACTTCCAACTCTGTTTCTGTTGCGTTTGGGGGTTTTTGCTTGTTTCTTTTTTGTTTTGGGTGGTTGTCTTGTTTTGTTTATCCTTCATTTCTGACACATGTATTTTAATCAAGTTATTATGTCATGGCAGCAAAGGCCTAAGCAACCTCTGAAGAATAGATTATATGGTGAACAAGCTTCTTGCAAAATTCTTACCTAGTGGTAGGAACTGATATCATGTGATTAATTTCAGCTATCTAGAAGAAGAGCATCAAATCTGAGCTGCTTGTTTAGAATTCTCTATCAGAAACAGAAAGATAGCCTTCTGTGAGAAGAGAAGCTGCTCTTCTGTGCAGTTCACATGCAGCCAAGATTAAAATCTAGATCAGGTGAGATGAATCCTACCCTATAGCAAAAGCTGAAGGTGCTGAGAGAGCACAGTGATAGTGTTGTGAGAACTTTTATGAAGCCAGATTCTCTTGTAGTCCACATGAAACAACTCTGCCAACCTACTCCTGTGACATTTGATATAAAAGCCAATATCTTATTGTCCCCAGTGGGAGATGTCACATATCTGAGACAGCATCTGGTGCTGATGATGTGAATAAATGAACTATGAACTGGGCAGAGAACCCGGTACTGCTGTCACGAGACCTGCAACAGGATGTGAACTCACATTTTCAGACATGAAAGGCTGTTTCACTCACCCACTCGACCATCCTACATCCTACTGATTGCTAGGAAAGGAAGCACAAGCCTACAGGAATTGTTCTGCAGTGATGGGTGGACACAGCTTCAAAAAACTGCCTGAAAACTTTGCCAAAGGGTGGCCAAAATGACTTTCTCATTCCCCTGTTCCATCCATCATGCCACAGTGAGTGATGCCTCTGGAAATAACTCCCTTGGCCAAGGATAACAGTCACACCTGCCCAGCTGTTCTTGGTGGTCATGCTGTCTTAGGATAGGGTCCAAAGCCCACTGAAATAATTGGAAAAGACCCTGTTGACTGAAGCAGATCTCTGGATCAAACCCTTAGTCCTTATTTTTACTAAATTAACTATGCAAGCTGGCAGAAGATTTCCCTGTATCGTGCATGGTAGGGCTTGGGCCTTTGGGATGACTGTAGCAGCTCTGTAGTTCCATATTGTCAGAAATTTTATTCCAGTGTTTTTTAGTAAGTGATGTCACTACTCTCATCTTCCTCTGTTGATGGATTTTTGGCAAAAAATCTAGGAGATCTTTAAGACTGAAGGGGCTACTCCCATTTTCATTTTTCACATAGAAATGGGCTTCTGGAATTGAGTTGTTAATAGGTGAGCAGTCAGCACATTTCCAATAGATGGTCACTCTGAGTAATGAGTGAGAGCATAAACCACAGAAAAGAAACATATGGGGAAAATCAACCTGTCGTCCACTGTGAGTGGGAAGAGAGTTACTGCATGGTTGGGAAGTTGAAGAGGTGAATTTGTTTCTCATCCTTTACAGAATAAATTAATGCAAAACTCTGATTCAAAGACAATTAAAGTTATCACATGTTTCTCTCTATCCCAAAAAACTGTTTTTCACCACCTCTAAAGGTAAACATAATTTTTTAATCCCAAAGTCTACTTTTTGTCCCAAAGTCATATTTCTTTGTGAAATTATTTTACTGATACTGTTCTCTTCAAAAGCCAAGCTGAATACAGCCACTGCAAGGATGTAACCTTGCAAAGACTGTGTAAAAACACAGCAGAAAGCAGAATGTGGGAGATGATACCCAGCAAGCCAGAGGGTGAAGCTCTTACAGGAGTGCTGGCACAAACCCCCTAGGGATAGTTCCTTGCAATATGTGTTTCTAGTGGAACTGTTTTTTAAAACAGGACTTTTCTTCTTTCTTACTTGTATTCAACTGTATCTTCAAGGAACATTTTTGGGTGGTTATCACATGACAGTGCAACCCTTTTTTTTCTTTTTCTTGAATATTCTTTCACAGCCATAAATGGAATTGTACAGTGAAACAAAAATGACTGTGTGATGGAATTTATCTTAATTCAAATTGGCACAGGTTTGCTGTCCATGGGGAAATTGCCAAAAGCTATTAGGTGATCCAGGGGCTTAAGATGTTTTTCAATCAACTATTTCAGATCCATTATCAAGATGGGGATGCAGAGGCTTAACTCCCACAGTCTGAAACACCACTAAGCAAGTGGACACTTGCACAAAGTCTGTTAGCTCTCTAGATAGCCATAACATCCAGTTCAAACAAGGAATGGAAATAGGCTGCAGACTCTTAGATCACCAGGGCTACAGCTCTGTTAACTAAAAGCAGAGGTCAGGTTCAAGTGCAGACCCCTAGTTAGTCTTTTGTTTAATGTTAAGATGGGCTTTGATGCAGTTTAGGTATGCTCCAAGTGTCACCTCCCCCGTGGCAGTGCTGTCGCAGTGTTTGGGGTCTAAGGTAGACCAGGAATTGACCCCAGCAGACATTTCAGATGTGGCCATAGATGTGGATGTATAACATCAGCTGGTCTGTGCTTTGCTGGCCTGTTTTGTTTCTGAATATTCAGGTAGTCTCAGATACTTCTGTGAAGCTTTTACTTCAGTCAGAAATTTGTTTAGTTGCCACTCTACATTACATGGTGAAAGAAATCCTAACCACAAGCCCTTAACTGGCACCACAGATTCAACACATGTCAAACTGGGTAGCTGGGAATGTGAACTAAAGTCTTCTCTGTAAAAAATTGCTATGAAGGAGAACTGTGGAGCAACTTCACCACGAATCTTAACTTACTCTTGATAGAATACAGAGGTATTAGCAGATCACGCTTCTTTCTTCACAGGCTGTGTTAGAGCTCCACCTGGCAGTAAATACAGGGATTGCTTCATTAAAAACTATTAGAAAAAACGCAGTGACTTTTTCGTATGTGAAAGGTTGTCACCAACTAGAATAATGTGTCCCGTTCATCTTATCCAGAATTTTAATTCCCTAGTAACACATCTAGATGGATCCATATTCAAAAAGGAAGTTTTCTCAGGCTTGGATTTGAGACTGATTGTAAAAGAAGGGACAGAAAAGAGATGCAAACAGTTGTGGAAAGAAAGCAGAGATAGGTGATGATAGATCATGGGTCACCAAAATGAACCACCTTGCACATACGTACTTGGGCTTACCCTGAAAAGCACAGAAGAGAAAAAGTCTGATGGAGGTTGAAGAAATAGGTTTGTGGGTGGTCTTCAGGCAAGATGTGTTGGAACCAACTTTGTGGAAGTGAAAGAAACAGGTGGAGTGACCAGTTTGTCAGTAGGGATCAAATAGAAGTGGGAGTGAGGAATGTTTGAAGGAGCAGAAGAGGATGAGACTGTGCTGTTAAAAGCTAGACAAAAAGATTCTGCAGCAGGTGAGCCCTGGGCCTGGTCAAGAATGTCACCTCAGTGAATGAGTAAGGAAGCAAATTTTGAAAAATAATGAGCCACAGGGATTTTCTGGCATCTGGAGAATACACCTTTTTTAGAAGAAAATACGTGTGATGTGTAGGAAGTAGAGTTCACTGAAAATTAATTGATTTCAAGCCATATACAGGGAAAAGCTATGGCCTCTGATTTCAGGCCAGATGTAGAAACTCAGGCAGCAACTCGGGCAGCTTTGGAAAGAGGAACAGAAACGCTAAGAAAGCGTAAAACAGAAATGCTAAAAGCAGGAAAACCTTGAGAGGCTGCAGTTGAAGTACGTGCACTCCTCCCGCAGCAGCCACGGGAGGGCAGCCCAGGCTTGCTGTTGGCTCTGCTCTGGGCAGCCTGCAGCCAATTTATCTGTGCTGCTAGCTGTGCCCAGAAGCGAATCCTGCAGAGCATGACAGGTCACAGGTCTTCTTTCCTCTCCTTGTCTGTATAGAATACCAAACGTGGTGTTATGGCAGTGAGCGTGGCAGGGAACAAGGAGGTAAAATTCTCTGCACCCACAGTCAGCCCGTCGTGAGAATTTCTCTGGTTTTAAAGCAATTCTTTCAAAAAATTAGGCATTGGTGGCCAAGTGCTGCTTTGGGATGAGAAGAACCACTGAAAAATACGATTATTATCAGCTTTGCAAGTGTTACTGCAGAAAACTTGATTTCTACTTGCGCTTCTTTCATAAAATTCCTCTCATCTCCTTGTTCTGTGTCATTCAGTGTCCCAGCAAAACCTACGATCCGCTCATAAAGTCCACCAGGGACTTCCCTGACGAGGTCATCAGCTTCATCCGGCGGCACCCGCTGATGCACAAGCCGGTTTACCCGGTGACGGGAGCGCCGGTGTTCACCCGGATCAACGTGGACTATCGCCTGACGCAGATCGTGGTGGACCATGTCATGGCAGAGGATGGGCAGTATGATGTCATCTTCCTGGGAACAGGTATGGCGGAGAGCTTCCGGTGTCGTTCTGCACAAACCCCATCCTTTTGGAGCGCCTTTAGTCCAGTAGGTCCTGAATAAACCTCAAGATTAACATTTTTTTCCTACGCATACGGCTTCAGGAAGCATGTAGGTGCTCCTGGTTCTGATCCAGCTCTCCATGCAAGTGCTTAAATTAAATTAATTTGTCAATTCAGGATATTACTACTGTTGGGATTTAAATGCCTCCTGCTGCCTGGGTGATAAACCATTTAGGGGTCAGAGTACCTGAAATTTCTTACCCTCCAAGTGCTACCTGTCTTTACATTACATGGTAGTCTCACATCCTGCTGAAAGCACATCAATAAAACTATTAAAAGAAAAAGAAATTACCTTGATAGCTTCAAGAAGCATTTCCTATTATTGATAGTGACATGGTGCTTCAGCATTTTATCTCATGTGATGCTGAGCAGTTAAGGATTTCAAATTGAGCCTAAGGCAACAGTTCCACTCAACTAATTTTAAAGATAAAAATTAGCAACATGATAGCTCCAAATGTGACAACCAAGATTGAACAGAGAGAGAGGTTAAGCTGTTCTGTCACGGAAAAAACTGCTTTGCTGTTTTTTATGGATAATTATTTATCTATTTACATTTTTATAATAGATAAATGCCTTAAGGAAAAGGCCTAGTTTTCCCATAGTAATTAAATTTAGAATCACTGGATGAATCACCCTACAGCAAGGTATGCTAAGGAATATGAATATACCTATTCATAACATTTCTGAAGTAATAAGCTACCACATTAGTCCACTGGGGTTTTTTGTTCTTATTCCATAATTCAACATTGTCTCGTTCTCTATAGGTCTTAGCAAGCACTTTCCTCTGGTAGTTCTGAGTGCTTTAGTAAGGAGGTCAGTGCCATTATCCCCCACTCAGAGAAGGTGAAACTGAGGTACACAGAGGTGGCAAGGTTTATCCAAGTGCAGTGGAGGAGCTATTACCATGAGCTGCAGGGAAATAAGAATTTCAGTTTGAATCCCACCCCAGTGCTATTGGATTGCCCAACATTTTATCTGAGCAAATTTTGTCATATAGCACAATTTGATGTGTGGGTATTCTGAAGTAATTTGAGGAAAGGAGTGAATTGTCAGAGAGCATCATCTCTTGTAATGTGGGTTGTCTCAGCCTTGAAGAGTTTTCTACCTGTGTTACCCCACACAGGAGTCTAGAGATAGCCTCTCTCAGAACTTTTATGTCTTTCTGCAAAATTGGTTTCACAGCCCTTGTCTTCTAACAGCAGAGAATGTCACAGACCCTCTGTGATCCCAAGTTAGTACAGTGGTGTCAGAGAAAAAAGCACAGTTTCATTAAAAAAGAGCATTAAAGTGCTATTTGCTCCCCCACTGGCTGAGAAGGCTGGGGATGAGCTTTTAGCATTATGATGGAAAATCCTTGTTGCTTTCTGAGAGCAGTATTAATATAGTCAACAAAGTAAAAGGAACTCTTCCCCAAACTGTGGGATGCCTAGGATTTGGGAGTGCTCACTGAAACTTACTTTTCTTCTGATAAGAGTGAGAAATGAGAAAAAGTAATTTGAAATTTAGCTGTCTGAGAAGATGAGTTCACTTGTTAAAATGTACAAAATATTCTTTTAGTGGATGTAGAGCCTGATTTCACATGTTTGTTGTCCTCCATTTTAAAGTTTTTTGTAGAAATAAAATTATATTGAGAGACCAGCAATCGAATACTCTGAGGTTAACTGTTCCTACCTGGCACTAAGAAACACTTCAAGTGTAAGTAGTCAGGTTTAGAGGTGACAAGGCCAGCAAGTACCATGCAGTCACTAGATGGCACTCCACAATATGCAGACATTTATTTTTCTGCAATGCCTTCTTTAAAAGTGAGTTTTCATCTCTCTAAGTGCATGGTTTTGTTCTGTTTTATCCTCTAAACTCATTGTAAGGAAAGAAATTCACTGAAAGATAAAATTTCAATTATATAGAGAGACTGAGTAGGGAAATAACAAATAATCCTGGAGATGCTGAGCAGCAGAAGATCAGTAGCTTATTATATGTTTGAATGTACACAGCCAACTTGTACACGTGCAGACTTTGGCAATTATGTCAAACAAACTCTGGAAAAAACCTCTAATTCATAAGGCAAATAATTTTACATTGATTGGTAATATGAACTTCAATAGTTTGGGAAAAGAAGAATGAAAATCTCATTCTTTCCCTTATAATGTATTATTTTTCATTATTTCACTGCTATGTGTAGAGCTTAGGGCTAAGCTGCATTGCATCATTCCCACATCCCAGCACCCAACCCACTTCCCCTGAGCAAGTTCTGAGCTCTTTTTAAGGCCATTCAAGGTTCACTAATGTGTAATGGTCTGACATGAAATGAGAAGCTATTTTTTTTCAGCAAGCAAGAATCCAGGTTAAAATTGATGAATATATTTGACTTCAAAAAATCCTCTGGATGACTCCAAAGAAGTAATGAATAAATTAAGATTTTGATGCTGAATGAAGTTGGATTTAAAAAAAAAATCCTTATAAATGAAAAAATAAATTTAAAAAGCGTATGGCTTAATTCATTGCATTAAAATGAAGTTTACTTCTGATTAAGGAGCTATGCTAGAAACAAATGAATTCTATAAAAAAGAGGAAATCATTTTCTGCCAATTTAGTCCCCTGAGCCAGTTCTCTTTGGGGTCAGATGGGCCCCAGTTCTGGCTCAGAGACATGTGCAGAAACTTGTAGCTGGCAGCATGGACATGCTTGTCTGTGTGTGTGTGCTTGTGTAGCAGGAGAGCTGGACCATCCCTGCCAGGAGCAGCCTGTGACTGTGTTGGCTCAGCCATACAGTGAAACCATAAATGCACCGTATGGAGGGAGCTCTGCAGGCAGCAGTGGATGCAGTGGGGATAGGTGTGGCTGGAAAGCAGCATCCCTCATGGATGAGCTTTATCTGCAGGGCAGGAAATGGAGCAGCCCACACCTATTTAAACATACCTGAGGGTTTTACATGAGGCACATTTGTTTCAGATGTAGGCACAGTCCTGAAGGTTGTGAGTATCACAAAGGAGAAGTGGACCAAGGAGGAGGTGGTCCTTGAGGAGCTGCAGATATTCAAGGTAAGCATTAATAGCCACAACATCAATTAAATATTATTCAGGGGACTTCGTGGCCCAAACTGGCTTTGTCTGTCTGGTTGTTTGTTTACTGGAACTCATTCAAGTTTCCAGAGGGACACTACGTAAATTTTTAAATGCCTTGGTATTCTTTGGGCAAGTCAATTAAAAAATGTCCAAAACCAAACAGACCGTGATTTTTCAAACCCATAGAAAATGTCATTTAGCCTGCTTTGTTCTAGTTTGAAATCTTATTATGAGCCCACTTTTTTATTATTTATACATATTAAAATAGTAGTATTCTATTTTTAATGTAACATTTTCTATGGCCCAATTGGCATTGAGAGTATTCTAGGTACCATCATAAGTTTTAAAAGACAAGTGCACCAAATTCCATGGGTGCGGAGAAATGCTTTGAAATAGCTAAATTGGGAATTGAAAGCATAAGAAAAATAAAAAAGAAATTAGTTTTGATTATCAGTGTGCCTTTATTTATTGGTGAAGGCTGACTCAGTATTTTTTACCATTTTGATTTGGTTATTCTGTAACTGGAACCTTGCTAACACCAATGACTTCTTCATAAATACAGTTTGTGAAAAGCCCAAGATTCTTTTTGTCGCACAGGCACAATTTCTAACTAACTTTAGTGCTGGTAAAGGAGCTGACATCAACATACTTTTACATCAGAAAAATGGAAGCCTTTGTCTTCCCTACTGATTTTTCTTTTCCATTTATTAGTTTCTTCTTAGTTCTTTGCATTCTCAATTTGCTTTCTTCTCATGCTGCACAACTCTTCTTCAGTTTTCACTTTGCTTTTCCATCAAAGTTTGTCTGCATCCACAGCATTTTGATTAATTTCCTCACATCCTCTCTGCTATGCGCTGTCCAGCCCAAATTGTTGTCCATACTGAATAAATGAATTTGAAACTTTTCCAAGTGTAAGCACAGGACCATTAACAATTATTTCAAAGAGTTCATTTCTTCATATGCCTTTTGATATGTCATGTGTATGATGAAACTTTGATTTAAAGGATCTCTATGTCTTCTTCCCACTGTCTTGGACACCAATTATAAATATCACTCAGAAAATATCAAGATTACTCAGTGGCCTGCCAAATAATGAGCAGTTCCAGTATGTGCACCAATTTGCTGCATTCTTAAAACATAACGTCAAGGGAAAATGTGCCATATCATATTTAAAACAAAAAGAGGTCATTTTTTTCTACTCAGTAGACATTCCTTCACATTTTTATTGGTAATGTTTATAACTACTACCTCTATGTTTTTGAATACAGAAAATTGAAGGGGGTAATGGCTGAAAAAATGTGCTTTATTTCCTCAAACTGCATTAATATTAAACAATAGGCTTAGATTAATCTTCTGTTGGGTGATAGCTAATACCCTGAGCTTTGTGCTGTTCTTACATCAGTTACAGGCAAAAATTTCACTGTCTCTCATAGCCATGAAATATATCCTGGTGCAGAGATCTGCCTATGTATCCCTTAAATGGCAACTAAGCCTTTCAAATAGTGCTTAATATGAACTAAAGTTGATGTAAAGGCTCATTGTCCAGGATGGGGTAAATAGCAAACTCTGAGAATCTAATTGCCTCCTTCCAGCTGGGGTAATTGATGGGAGTTCTTTTTGGCAGCATGAATTTCTTGATTTTCTATTGTTTGGGATTTTTTTTTCATATTTGTTTAAACCGTGCAAACGAACCTGTAATTTTATTTGCTTATTGTGTGTTAAGTTTTGCTCTCTTTTTCACTAAGAGCAAGGAATTTGTAAACTAATACATGTTGCTGTTTTATTTTTCAGCATCCTTCAGTTATCTCGACCATGGAGATTTCTCAGAAACAGGTAATCATAATCTTGTTTAACTACTGGAGGATATGGGGTACACTGAACACCTATTTTCAGGTGACGCCTGTTGATTTGTGGCCAAGCTTTCCAAGGATGGCTCTTAAAATGTAACTGGAAGGAAGGGGATGTGTTTGAAATTGTTTCCCTGCCTAATTCCTATTTGCTTACAAACAGTAATTTGTGTACCCAGGCTGGTAATTATTCAGGGAAACAAACCTTTAGTCATATGGTAGTGGGATTTGTAAGAGAAACCAATGCACATTCTTTTTCCAGCCTCCAGAAATACTTGTCTCTTTACAATCTAGCAATAAATTATTATTACTATTTTTGTTTTTATTTTTATTAGTAGTCAGGAGAGATCAGGGCCTCACTGTGCTAAAATTTGTATGCACACAACCAGTCCCCCTCCTCTAAAATTGCAGCCTGAATCTGGGTGGTCCAGCCCTGGCAGCACAGGGGCTGGTCCCAGAGCAGTATCTCCTGATGGGAAAGGATTTTATGGCAGCTCCAAGCTCTGGAATGGCTCCTTGCATGTTCAGGAGGCAGTGTGACACCAGAGCCACCCCTCCCTGACCCGCAGAAGTGGCCAGAGCAGCTCTGGCACAACCCAGCTCACTCACACGGGAGGAGGTATTTTGGCTTCAGGCACGCACAGCACAGCTGGGTCCCATCTCCCATGAAAAAAGGTGGCAGGCCAGATGGAAGTGCTGCATGAGCCAGCTCCAGCTTGGACCACCCTTGGCTCCACAGGTGACCCACTCGCACCTGGGGAGAGGGCAGTAACATTATCCCTGTCCTACCTCAGGATCAGAAGCAGAACATGAGGTTTATTCACACGAGGTCACCCCTAGTTCCCAGATTGTTAACATCATGACTATCCAGCCCTTGTTAGAAATGTGTTATTAAGCCATTCTTTCCGTGGTTTGGTTCTGATATTTTAGTACAGCGCACATCTAAAGGTGTGAGGGTGTTGAGTGCTGGTGTCTTTCCAGGACTGCAGTCCCCTTTCCTCTCTCTGTGTTGCTGGGGTGGATGGGCACTGGCCAATTCACACTGAGCCCTGAGAAACATTTCACACTAAAGGAGGAATTTTTCCCTTGTTTTACAAAATCTGGGGTAAGGTTAAAAGTCTGCAACTGTGGCACTGAAGAAGGGAACTTTTTACACCGGCTACTGGAGAACACTTCTAATTAATTCGCTTTGCCTGATTTGCAGCAACAATTGTACATTGGTTCCAGGGATGGATTGGTTCAGCTCTCTCTGCACAGATGTCACACGTATGGGAAGGCTTGTGCAGACTGCTGCCTTGCCAGAGACCCATACTGTGCCTGGGATGGAAACTCTTGTTCCAGATATGCCCCCACTTCTAAAAGGTAAGAAAAAACCATGATGTGCTGTAAAAGATCTTGCTGCTTGCAAGAATTTTAGATGTTCCAATTCATAACTTGTTGCCTTTTTACTTAGCATATCATTTGCCTTAAAATGTGATCATACTCTGGCCATGTTTCACATTTCTGCTCGAAGAGCTGTGAAGACAACATAGCTTTGTTTAAGTGTGTGTGACAGTAACTTGGCTACAGCAGCTAAGATCATAAATCCATCACTTTCCTTTTTTATGCTGAATGCTTTAAGTCACAAGATGCTCAGATGGAGGTCCAGGTTGTGGCTAATTCTGCCCAAGAGGCAAGAGCCTCTCTTAAGCTCCTGACTTTTTCAGAGTAGTTAGAAAGCAGAGTTTAACATAGCATCCCAGAGTGGTCAATAATAAAATATATTTAATTCCCTGACCTAACCCAACAATTGTATTTGTGGTCTAGCCATGAGAGGGAGACAGAGATTTAAGTACCATGATTTGACCACATTGGCAGCAGTCTTTCCACAGTGAAAGAAGTTTCATCTGAATTTTCTATACCCACCAGCTAGGACAACACCTTGGATCTTGATGGAGGGAGAGCACACTGCAGGGTCTAACAGTGCAGTGCCTAAGCTGCTGGAGGTGTCTCCTGAAGTTTTGGGCTGAGTTAGCTGGAACCAGAGTCCTTCACAGCCTCTTTATTCTGCTTTGGACAACGTCCTCCTGACAGTAATTCTTGCAGTGGGGTTGCAGTTAGAGCTCAGGCTCTGGAATGACACTTTCTACCTTAGGGGTCACAGGGCTGGGTCCTGAGCCATTGAAGTTAATGACTCATAAGTTACCCTGTCATGGTGTCAAGAAACTTTATGTGTTCTCCCTCATAGCCAAAGCAAACTAAATTCAGAGAAGCATAAAAGCAAGGAGAAAAGCAAGTGTTCAGGCTCACTGCAAAGTTAGTGACACATGAGGCTTGCTGAAGTCTGGGGTGGGCTGGGACACGGAGATCGATGGTCCGTGCTTTTTAACAGATGTGCAGCTTGGAGGGAAGGCCAAAAGTCTGTGTCTCCAAAACAGAGGATGGGTGACTGGCCCTGGGAATCCTGCAGCAGATCAGTTGCTTGAATGTTTTCCTTCTGTGCTGAAGGCTGTGTTTCCAGCATGTCTACAGCTTTTGCTCAGTGAACACATCAGCCTTAGCAACCTGCTCTCCTTCCGAGGCCATGCTCTGCACACAGGAGGTCCCACTGCTGCTGCTTGTGAGGAAAGAACCAGCTCTTTCCTGGGTCTCCAATTCTTCTACTGAAAAATTGAAAAAGTTTCCATTTTTTTCCATAGCTCTTGTGAAATAAATGCAGTCATACACAGAGGAAGAGTTGACCTTTTTTTTAGTGCTATTACATTGAAATGACAATAAATCATGGTGAGTTCATGTAACACACCCAGATTGGTGGGCAAGTTAGTAGATCATCTCAGACCATTGCCTTATGTTTTTTCTGTCCATTTATTCTTTATTCTTCATTAAGATGAAGAATAACAAGATTTATCAATTGGTTTTTTAACAAACTAAAATACATGCTCTTCTCTCTTCATTTTAATAATTGGTTTATTAGTATTACCTTGAGCTATTACTGTGCTTAATTTTGAATATCAGCTGTTGAACTTCAGACCTTTTTCATGATCTACAACATGAAAAGTTTTTAGGTATTTGTAACACAGTCCACCCCACCATTAGACCTGTGCTCCTACAGCAAGTTTAGACACTCTTTCTGTCACTGCTTTACAACACTTTATTTTAGGCAGATATTTTTCTCTTGCTTTTTCTCTTTTCCCTCCCAGTGGTTTTCCCAAATCACAGGCTCTTCTCTTGATGTCAGTTATACAAATCTCTCTAGGCCATATGCTGCTTTGAGGGTGAGACTGGTTTTAGTTAAGACTGTAATTGTCAGCAGTAGGATGGGAGCAATGCAAGTCCACATCTGCTGAGCTCCTCTGTATTTTGTTGTTGCATTCCAGCAATTATGTCTGAAGTGTTACAAGTTTGCATGTTCTTCCCATAGGCGAGCCAGAAGGCAGGATGTCAAGTATGGAGACCCAGTTGCACAGTGCTGGGATGTGGAAGACAGTGAGTATTTTTCACCTTTCTTGCTCTTTTGTTGCTTAGGCAGCAGATTTTGCTGTGACAGTCTCTGTGTCCAAAAACTTGCTAAGCTCAACAGAGCAGTTGCCTTTGCCACACTTCGTATCCATTAGCCCTCACACAGTTAAATATTCAGAGCTGGAGCTGGTAAGGGACAGCCAGCATGGGATGTCACCCTTGCATCCCTTATGGGCAGCCCTTCACACCAGGCAGGGAGATATGCCCCTGACACCAAAATATCACACATGTCCCTGAAGTTAGCTAATGGGGTGTGCATGATGTTCCATCCAGAAACAGGGCAGTAAATCCCACAAGGAAGCTTGCAGGGTTGGGTGGGGAACATGCCATCTCCTCTCTGCCACTTGACACTGGCCCAAAGGCTGAGCTGCAGCTGCCAAACCAGCCCCTTCTCCTTCCCACAGCTACTTAAATATTCCTGTTATTAACAAGAACCCCCTTCCCCTTGCCTGCTTCCCCCCTCCTTTTCCCACACCCTCTTTTCAGATGCCAAAGGGTCTGGCTGCTCCTCTGGCATCTGCAGCTCTTCTGTCTCGAGCGAGCACTGTCAGTGTGAAACCCTGTGGTTACACAGCAATCCCTGTGGCAGCACAAAATAAATGAATAGCATTCAAACCCAAGCGTGGCTTTGTCTGGGGTTCTTCTAGCTGCTTATTAAAGTGAACAATCCAGACAAAACAGTATTGATTGTATCACCACGTTGAACACTGGCTTTGGGACAAGCCACCCCTTGCCATTGATCTCTGGTTATTCCGTGCTGCTGCGGTGCTGGGTCCCTGCTGCAGGCATCAGTGGGAGGCAGTGCAGAAATCAGAGCTGCTTGCCATGGGATCAAAGCCTCAAGTCTGTTGCACAGTCTAGAGGGCTCTGACTGTACATGTGTGCTTGCAGACATAGTTAAAAAGTCAGGGTAGGATCTCATTTCCATCAAAGTCAACGACAAAACTCCTGTTCATTCCAAGGGCCAGAATTTCCTTGCTTGCTGCTTGCCACGATTCTCCAAACCCTGATATCTGAGACTGTGCAAAGCTCAAGGTTATAGAAACCCTAGCAGAAAGGCTGACAGTGTCACATTTTCCTGGAAGGATAAAGAGATACTGGAAGAGTTAGCATTATTAGACAAATCTACAGTCTTGTAGCACAGAAATTGGTATTAATTCTTTGCCCTGACATAGTGCCACCAATAGCAATTTTATCCACCTGGGAGTGACTCCTGTGTGCCATAAACCCGTGAAGTTGACCTTTGTCACTCCGGGGTCTTGGCTTATTTAGGCCATTTGTGATAATCAGTAATATTATGGTCCCCAAACTTACTTAAATCCACTGCTCCACTGTGTGAGATTCTCTCCCAGAGACTGTTGGCTGAATGAAGTTGTTTGGCTCTACCTAAATCTTAGTGGTGCAAGGAAATGATGCAAATGATGAATTTCTATAGATCTCATACAGGTACTTGTTATATTGAAAGCATGGTCCAAAATTGTTTTAATTCTGATGTGGAGCTAACTTTTGAATCAGGAGACACCACTGTTTTCACCTTCCTTTCTGGTATTCACAGGGCATAAGAAACAGCTTTAGTCTCTTGCTAAGGTAGATAAGACACAGATAAGACAAACTAGAAGGAAAAATGAAGATGCAGAGATTAGAAATTATTTGCTCAGGTTTACAGAAGACCAAGAAAGGATTTCAGATCTCCTCATGGCTCCTTCAGTGTTTGTTCTGAAACACACTACAGAGCATTTCAAATTACACTGAAGGGAAGCAAACTTCAGTTTACTTTAGCTCTGTGACTCCTTTGGGTGAACAAACCAGACCATAGAGTCTAACTTAACAGGTTTAGCTCAGGTTTAGTAGTTGCATTACTTAAAGGAAAAATAGTGGTCAGCTTTTAAATTCCTCATAGGTGAAAGCTCCAAGTTTAAAATGGAGCAAACTCATGATACAGATTTTATTGACCTCCTTAAAAACCAGTTGCACTGAAGGAAGGTTAGCAGCCGCCTCTAAATCCTCATAGTTATAGTTTAAGCTAAAAGTTAAGTTTCCTTTTGCATTTTTATAATTCACTCACTCTTATAGCATCTGTTCTGAATCAGGCTGTTTTCCCATTGCTTTAAAAAGCAGGTCAGGGTTAATCTCCTGTACCATGTTTGCTTTCCAGGCATTAGTCATGAAACTGCTGATGAAAAGGTGATTTTTGGCATTGAATTTAATTCCACTTTTCTGGAATGTACTCCTAAGTCCCAGCAAGCCTCTATTAGGTGGTATGTTCAACGCTCTGGAGAAGAACACCGAGAAGAGGTAAGTTATAATCATCAAGGCAGGTTTCCTCCATAGAGAATTCAGCTGAGCATTGAGAGGCAGAAGTTACTGGGGCTAGTCAATGTTTTGCTTTTCCCTGCCTCACCTTAGGTATCACATAGCATTCTGCTATCACCATTTGGGGCATGCAGTGGGGAAGAGAGAAGCCATTTGCACTGTATCATAAGCAAATTCTGATATTTATTTTGACTTAACCTGCCCATCCTATTAAAAAAAATAAAAAAGAGGTTTAATATAGATAAATGATTAAAAAGTCAAAGCTCTTTTGTCCAACAGTTGATGCATCTGCTTCTGTAGGTAAAAGTATGTTCAAAACCTTATGTTTCAATAAAGTCTCAGCTCTGTTTAGTGTCTGATTGCTTTCCCTTTCCATGTTGAGCAGTGTAGCTAAGAATTGCATGTATGGTTTGCTGCTTCTCTCCATCTCTCCCCAGAGGAGGAATGGTCTGTGGTTAAAAGGCTTTTTATTTGCTTTTTTCCTGTTAGTGGACTCTGAGATTTTTGCTTAAATGGCATTTAGAGAATTCAGGTTAAGGATTGCTCCTTGCATCTGATTTAGAAAGCAGTGAGATTTGTGATGGCCCTTAATTCCTTTGGGATTGAGTTTTGTGGTCCTCACTGATGGAGAATCTCTGGAGAAGCCTCCAGGTTGCTGCAAACCCCCTGCACAATTTCCTGATGATTCCTCTCTGAGCTAGTGACAAAGGGGCTCTCCAACATGACTAAAAGGTCAATGTACTGGGACTGGTTTGGACTGGGTTTGTGAGTGAGTTTCAAACCTCAGGAGTTTTCATAGCCTTTCTCTTACATGAGTGATTTTGTGTCTGAGGCCAAGTCCTGCTGTGATGGCAACCATGGCAACAGGGAAGGAGAAGGGAAATGAACTGCCCTTTCAAAGGATCTGGTCCCAGGTGCTAGATATGCTTTTCTGTTAGATCTTCATCCAAGACAAAAATCAGTTTAAATGACAGGAACTATCAAACATACAACTGGTGTTCCACTCTCAGTGATAATTCATCCTATGAGACTTCCTGAGTGCAGAGGCCATGCTGGTCCTTTCCAAAGGCTGGGGAATTGCAGGCCAGGGCAGGTGTCTGAGAGGGAATCACCTCTGGGTGAGATGTGACTCATGGTACTCACCCCAAAGTTGCAGCCCCAGTTATATCATGGCCCAGAAAGCCAGAGTTAGGAGGTACTTCTAATTTTCTGCCAGATAAGACAAAAACCTACAAGGCTGTATATTGACTGTAACACTCCAGTACTTCTAATTTATTCCTCTTCTCTTACACATGTTTTGGATTGACAAAACTTTTTTCCTCTGCTGGGAGAAAAAAAGCATAATTAAATTTTAGATAGGTGCATTAACACCAAAAGAAAGAGATTGCTACTTTGAAATACTACCTGTAACCCCCATTATAGCCAGTATGTGGAAAAAACAATAAAAAAAAAGCCTTCTGATCAGATGGCCAGGCACCCTCTCAGCCACAGGAGGTTGAAGTGCACACCCAACTAGAAGTGTATTGGCATTTAAAGACCTACAGTCATTCATTTTACTGAAATGGAATTACCTTTACCCTCCTGTACAGCAGACTCAGTGCTCACCTTCCCTAAGGCAGCAGTTTGTAAATGCACTCACATAGCTGATGTTCAGGGAAACAAGTAAAGTACTTTCTTAACTATTACCGTGTATTTAAGACTAATTTTAAAGTAAATTTAAGCAGATAGCTAACAAGGTTTTGACTTGGGGGCAGGGGGGAGAGGGGGTGTTTGTTCTTGTTGTTTTTCTTTCCTTTTGTATGGTTTTCTTTCTTTTTTTAATGAATGAGAAGTCAAGTTTTGAGAAGACTCAATCTTTTAAAAAAGAATTGCAACTATACTGTGAGCTATAAACTTTGCATAAAGGAGCCAGTTCCCTGTGAAGAATGTAATATTTCTATATCATAAGAGATTACACTTTCAAGACTTAAAAGCCTCTTTTGAAGGGCTGCTTTTGAGTCTTTATCTGTGTCAATTTAAGGAAAAAGATATTATCAGTTGATTTGCTCATAAATCACAGGTTCAGCTAGGCCTCTGAAGGTCATGGAACCAAGCTCAAGCTGTCTTTCTTGTTTGATCATAGAACAAACTGCAGGTGAAACCAACTTTTGAGCAAATTTACAGCATGTAACATGTGTGGCATAGCCTATAATTATAGCCTAAATTAAGGCTATACTCTTCTTGATACACATTGCATTTCCAAGAGGTTTGTTGTGGCAGTGGCCTGGCCCCTCCTATTTGTTATGATCCAAATGCTCCTTACCCAGGCCTGATGCTGTCCAGTATAGCAGGACTGCCCAGCATGCCAAGGATGTGCATGTTGGGAGGGATTTAGGGAATGTGTGCACATGTGTGGTGGCATTAGAAGTCCCAGCAAGCACACAGAATTCATCTTTGCACATTAACAGCAATGTTTACTGGGCTTGCTCTGTGTAAACAGTCTGACATCTGTTTGCATGAGAAAAGTAAATCTTTCCTAAAAGGCTGGATTAACCTCTGAGGCAAATTTAGTAGAAAATTTGAAGGAGAAATGTGCACAGATTCTCTACAATATGAATGTTAGAAGTAGGCAAAGAGCTTTTTGTCACACATTGTACCTTAAGCCACAGCAGTGCCTCTGTGATCTAGTTTTAGTAAAAATCAGATCTTGGGGTTTTTTTTTTGTTGGGGTTTTGATGGGTTTTTTGGTTGTTTAGTTTTTTTAAGTCTGAAGATAATAGCCTATAGAAATGCATATGCACACATTGATGGTTAGAGGATCAGGTCACTTAAAGACTCTATAGATATTAGTTACGTTTGAAGCTTGCCAGAAAATTCTAATAATAACAATTTATAGTATTTTGACCCAGCTTAGTTTCAGGATCCTAAGAAATTGAACTCCTGAAAAAACTCTATTTGCTTATATTATATTGATAGACATCATTTTTAGAAGAAACAACAAAAAAGAAACTTTTTGTTTACTTTTTAAGATAACTGTATTAATGTAGAAATTACATGCTTTCAAATGTGGGATGTTAAATTCCTAATTTCATTTATGGATCCCTAAATGATTGACCAGGTCTGTAGAGATGCTGAACAATCATTCCTCCTATTTGATGGAATAAGGGTGAAGTGGTTAATATGTTAATCCCTTAATAATTTGCAGATCCAGAAATTGAGGTTTCCAGGTTTTCTAACTTGACTTACCAGTGAAAATGAGTTCATCAGTATAAACACCTGATTGGAGACCTTCCTAGAAAATCCGAAGAGCAGAGTAATTGACTTTCTTTTCAAAGTACTTCAGTTTGACAAAAATACCATATGTGACAGAAACACTGAGGTCATATTTAATGTATAGCTTGATCTTTGCTCAACCAATGCATTACCATAACTTTTCCCATTACAATTATATTTTCTGCTCTCTCTGTCACCCTTCCTGCAGCAGATTTCTCAAATAACACTGTGCATTCTTTTGGTGCATGTCTTAGCAGTGTAACTTATTGTGATGACGATACCATGCTTTGCAAATGACTCCACGCACCTGGAACTTAGGTTACGGACTTTTAGTTCCAGGGCTGGAGCTGTAATGTCTTAGCAAGTCTTTAAACTTGGCTTTACAAAGAGATGGCTTTGCACTGTCCCAGACATGCAGTGCAGCTTCCTGAGGGAAGGGAAAGGGCAAAATCCAGACTAGATGGGAAGCATTTGGCCCAGCAGGATGTCCCCGACATTTCACCCTTAAGGTCATGGTTCAGAATGTGACTTCCAGGCAGAGCAACCTGCAGGGAGGGACAGGATCTCCTGTGGTACAGAAGCTGTCACCAGGTCATTTTGCTGCCAGTGGGAGTACATTTCCCTGTAGTTTAGGGCTGTTTTAAGGTCAGGAGTCAAATATCTAGTGCTTTTGTGGTTAGTGTTGCTCACGCAATTGATCGTGTTTGTTCCTGTGCGTGCAGCGTTACTCACTGGGATGACGGAGAGTGTTTCAGTGCCTGGAGTTCATAAAAAACTCTGGGGACGTCATCTGTTCGTAGTGTCTTGAACTGCTGAAGCTCTCTGAAGCTTTAAACAGATACTAGTTATTTCTCAAAAAAAGTCCTGTGTTATTTTATGTACATAAAAAGTGTCAGGACTGCAAAAAGCAAATGCATGGCTCCCTACAAAGGCGTTAGTTTTGGTGCCTCGTTGCTCTGAAAAGCTTCAGCCCCTCTGCTTTAGGCTGCATTTCACTCTCAGTCCCCTGTGGCTCCTGATCTGCCAAGCTGCCGCCTCAGCAGCAGGGGACAGAACAAACCATATGGTCTAAAGTGACAAAATGGGTGCAGATCACTTTTAACTTTCTTCTTTCTGCTCTGCTTATACCTGGTGGTGAAAATAAATCCACCAAAATGCCTGGGGGCATTCCAGTTTCTCCTTCAACAATTCTCATCCTTTCCACATTCCTGCCCCACAGCTCAAATTGTGTTTTCCTGATGGACCAAACTTGAGGACCGTCTGATATTTTGGTAGATACAAGAGCCAGACCCACTTTTGTGCAGGACATATTCCAAGGCACAACATTGTAACCTAGCTCCCTCATCAGAGCAGGGAGATGTTGTTTCATTCCACATTTTAGGCATTTTTTTCAATTTATCCAAGTGATAAGTTTCAGTATCTTTTTGCATCTGGAGGTTTTTGCATCATGATGGGAACTTTGTTACAAACATCTGGTCTAGCAGAGTTGTAAGAAAAAAAGCCCCAGATTCAGTGCCAGCCCTGAAATCCAAAAGTTGGATGATGGCTGAGTCAGGCAGAAGACACATAGCAAGGACTGAATTTCCACTTGTATCTTCTGTCAGGGGAGTGTAATTTGGTGTTTGAATCTTTAGGTCAATGAAAAAGAAGGTCAAGAGAGTTGGGAAAAAGAAAAAAAAAAGATATTAATTCTGCAGCCTAAGTTTGCATACTTTCATTCTTTTATTTTACTATATAACTCATTGCCTTTTTTTTCTTCTAATACCTTGAGTGTCTTAAGTAAAACTAATGTTTTTGACAGTTTCATTGGGAAAGAGGAGAAGTAACTGTACTGAGTGACATTTCTGATTTGATTCGGATATATTGGAGAAGTAATAGGAAGGAGGAGTTTAAAGTTTAGTCTCAGAGTAAGAAGTAAACTTCACCTTGAAATTAATAGGAATCATGCATGTCCCTAATGCCATTTTACCAGCAACACATTCTTCATTTTTCCTGAGACTGTTGGTGAATTAAAAAAAAAGATGTTTTTAAAAAAATTAACTATACAGCTGTGTTGTAGCTAAATTATTATTTTCCCATACAAGAGAAACAGTCATGTGTGACAATAATGTCAGAAAATCCCTAGAGTGATCTGTATTTCCAGTCAAATGATGAGGATGAAGAAAACAATAGAAAAACAAAGATGAATGTGAATTCTCTGCAAATGTTCCTCATTTTCTTTTCTCCCTCTCTCAATTTGTTCAGGGGTTGCAGCTAACCCATGATTAGTCCAGCTTTACCTCTAACATTTTTTCACATGTTGATTAATGAGGAAAGGCAGGCTTTGAAGCCATTTTCTTCTCCCAGACAGGTGCAGTGTTTTAACTGTGAAAGAGCTGACATGTGAATTATTTGTAAAGAGGGAGCTATCTAAACACATCATTAGCAAAGGACAAAAAGCATTGACCGAACCTGGTGCCACAGCACTTTCAAATCCTTGGTTGTTTTCCAACTTACTGATCGTTTAAAGATTTGCCATCATTATTGGCAATATTTTTTTTTCTTCATTGCTAAATTCAGATTGTGAAAATCAAGTGTTAGATTTGCATGGAGTTCTTTTCCCTTTATCATGCATTGCCAGAATCTATGGCATGTGCCATAATTCAGTTAATGTAAATTTTGGAAAACTTATGTACTTATCATGAAAGATGAAAGTACAATTTGTTGATACTATCTCATCAAAAATCTGCTCCCACTTCACTAAGAAAAGAAAGCGATTGGTAATCAATTGCTTCAATTTTAATGATTTTTATGTTGTTTCCTATGGAACAAAGCTATCTTTCATGTTAAAGTTTTATTGTATGCTCAAATTTAAGGACATGTCAGCAAGCTTTTATGAATCTAAGCCTGTGTACTTCTGAATTGCTAAATCCTATTTAGAAATATTTTAGAAGAGTTACTGATTTTGACATGGTGGGGGGTGAAACAGTGAATCCACAGTTGAACAAAGCAAAATTTCTTTTATCTAAGTAATCTTCTCACTTTCCTCAGAATTTAATAAATACATTTTACATCTATAGGTCAGGAACCAAAGACCACATTAAACATTCAAGTGAAAGGTTAAAGATCTACTACCAAGTAATGAAATGCCAGGTGTTTATGAAACTCCAGAGCCCTGTGGGGAGGAAAGCAGAGAGGAAAGACAGGAGGAGTTCTGAACCTATGGGTAAAACAACATAAACAGGATACCAAAAAGAGAAGTGAGGGGGGAAAGCAGTAATGAAGTGTTGCTCAATATGTGTGAAATCGGAGCCATAATTTTATCCTGCCAGAGGATAAGAAAGGAATGAACAATGAAGGCACAGAGGAGGAGGTGACAGTCACCCTAAATCAGTGTCCAAGGTTAACACAGGACACTCTGTAGGAGCACTGCTTCATTCAAAATAGGAGTCATGATGGGCTGGGATTAAGGGACATAACCAATTTAGACTTTTACCTTTCTCTGCAGTATCCCAAGGCAGAGGGGGTACAGCTCCCTAAAAAAAAAGTGATGGCTGTTACACAAACAGCAAATAGTTATGAGTAGCAGGGTGCTGGACTTGGGGGTCCAGTGATCTTTTCAAGTCTAGATCTGCCATTATTCTGCCTTTCTTTCACTGAAAAGAGTCAAAACCCTGGAGAGGGCACTTTGGACTGGCACCCAGCCAGCCCAAACAGCCAGCTGGAGCCTTTCCAAGTGTGGGAGGTGCACAGCTGTCAAGAGGCTCTAGACAACAATACTGGCAGAGCCACCGGCAGGCAGATGCTACTGCTGAGATTGCATCAAGCCTCAAGCTCAAAGACATCAGTCCTGTTTTCACTCAGGCAATGTGGGAACGTGGTCTTTGCACAGTGCCTTATGAAACCCAAATGTCTGGAAGTTAGCTGCTTCTTCCCAGGCTTCTCCCTCAATTTTGCAAACGTGGATCTTCATGTTGACATGAAGCCTGGGCAGAAGAAAGGGATTTCCTTGTTGTCTTGGAAAAGCCAGGCCTCCAAGCACTTCCACCTGGCCCCTGCTCCTGCTGCTCTCTCTGGAGCACAGCACCACAAGGAAACACCTGTCCTAGACATATTTCTGCCTACAGCTCCTTATTTGTGGATTCTTTTGTAAATTTTATGCTCCTGTTTTTACTGTAAAAAAGGAGCATTTAATTGGAGTGAAATGTCACTAGCTGATCCCATTGAGGACTAGTGCCCTGTGCCGTGGGTTCTGCAAAAGAAGAGCAGCCTTTTCTAGTTTGTCCCCCTGTTATCTTCTGTGCATGTGACTTCACCATAATTTATCTGGTTTAAACTCAGTGTGGTAAATCAGAAGTAGCTTGTGCTCATGTAGCACCTGTTGTCAGGGCAATCGATTTTCCAGGAATTTCCTGAAATTTGTATCATTTCACCCTCCGGGTACTGAGTAGACATGCTTATATACAGTTTACAAACAGCGAAACTAAAGCTCCCAACACCAACAACTGGGGGCAGGAGCCAAAAAATACTTGGCCAGAGAAACTGACAACCAAAGATACAATCTGACCTGCTTTTGTAGCAGCTGATTTCTTGTGTCTGCTGCTCTCCTGTCTGTGGCAGCACACAGACCTGTATCCATCCATCCATAAGACTTTCCTGCATACCTGTCTAATGCATGTGTTACTGAAGACTGTTACAACTGAAGCAGTAGGAAACAAAAATCTCTGTCTCTGGTTGTATTATTTCTATGTGTATTGTTCTTTCTGGTGATCTCAATATGGTCTCTAAAACTTTTTTAATGATTTCAAAGTCATTTTCATAGAAACTTAGAAAAGGGTAAAGCTAAAAGCCCTCTAAGGTAATCTCATCCATCCCTTTGCTCCAAGAGACTCTATTATGATAAAGTACCAGTGAGTTAGAATCATAACAGATGGAGAATCATATGTATGTATAAATTTTTTCCCATGGAGTAGCAGAGGGAATCGTGTGCAGATTTTTTACATAAAGAAACAGTGTGTAGCTTACCCACTGTGAATAAATCTAATTTAGTCATCTTTATGCCTCCCTGATCTTCACCCTCTGAAGTTTGCTGGAGGGTCAGATGTGCACTCTGGGAAATTTTGCAGATTCTGTGTTGGTTCTTTCTGCCCCCAGCCCCCCTTCTCAAACCCACTACCAAACTTGAGGTGCAGTTTCCCCCTTGGCAGTGATGCCACCAGCAGAGCTGAGGCTGCCTCCAGCAGCAGTCCAGGCCTGTGGGTGCCAGCTGTGCTGCAGCCTCTGTGTGGCAGCAGAACACAGCACGCCTGGGAGGGAACAGCCTGGGACAGACCAGCATCATTTTCAAAGGAAATGCTGGTGCTGGATGTCGGGAGTTAGGGCTCTGCTTTCTGCTTCCACCTCTGCTACTAATCTTTATATGGTCTTTGGCAAATCACTTACCTTCTATGTTTCCCAGATGTAAAAATACTTAGGTGCCCAATGCCCCATCCTGTTTTTGGTTTGGTTTGGGTTTGGCTTTTTTGTTGCTTTTTTTTTTTTTTTTTTTTTTGAGGAGGGGAGCTATTTTTTGATTTAAGTTGGTTTAGAAATAATTTTCAGATTACCAGATACATAACTTACCTGACAGTTTTACTGGTCTAAGGTACACCTTACTTCTAACATGTGAGACCCTGCATTTTTTAAATATTTATATTCGTAAATGAAATTACATCTCTATGCTGTCAGATTTCAGCTCCCACTTGCAATCTTATTCTTTTGTTTGGGGTTTGTTTTTTTTTTTTAAGTCTTATTTTTCTCAAAGTTATTCTCCACAGATCTTAGCAATAAAAGAGCTGTACTTTGTTGTATCCATCCAGCCTTATTGCCTGCTTTTAATCACATCTCAGTGAGTCAAAGCCAGGATCAATTTCCTTTTGTAAAACTTGGTTGAAGAAGATCAGAAACACAGCATTTCGCTGTAAAGATCAGTAGTAGTATTCATATTCATCATAACAGGGCCTCAGCATTGCAAACACTCTGGTATTTTGGGTGTATTACAGTTACCTCAGAAAGAGCTGCTAAAAAAATGCTGGGATTAGTGGCAGTCAATAGCTCCCCTTCCTTGGAGAATGCAGCCTCACTGACTGCACTGTGATGAGTGTTGCTGTCTGTCCTGTCAGCTGTACAGCATGTGTCTTTTGCTACTGCATGCTGAGTGTCCGTGATCCAGATGTTGCAGTTAGGAACAGGATCAGGCCTTGAGGGAACTGCTGGTTTCTGTCCCAGCTGTACCACAGGGAAGGGACACGCCATGTGCCAGCCGGGCCGTGCCTCCACCTCAGCATAGCATTGACACACATCTCATTTTGACAGTGAGACTCACCTCCTGTGCTCTTTTCTTGTCCACCCCCACAGCTGAAGGCTGATGAAAGGATCATTAAAACGGAGCACGGGCTGCTGATCCGCAGCTTGCAGAGAAGGGACGCGGGAGCCTATTTCTGCAAAGCCCAGGAGCACACCTTTGTGCACACCATCGTGAAGCTGAATTTGAACGTCATCGAGAATGGACAGATGGAGGGCACCCAGAAGACGGAGGACGAGGAGGGCCGGGTGAGGGATTTGCTGACGGAGTCCCGGCTGAGGTACAAGGACTATATCCAGCTGGTCAGCAGCCCCAGCTTTAGCCTGGATGAGTACTGTGAACAGATGTGGCACCGGGAGAAGCGGCGGCAGCGGAACAAAGGTGGTGCCAAGTGGAAGCATGTGCAGGAGATGAAAAAAAAGCGAAACCGAAGGCACCACGAGCCAGCCAGGCCACCATCGACGTAGTTTGTAAATGCTATTTAAAGAAAGGACATTTTCCATAAAAAAAAAAAAAAGAAATACTGTGTTCTGGTTTTGTGCATCTTGCCTATGAGTTAGCACTGCTTCTTCTTGAAATCAGAAAATTTACCATCACTGTTAATCTGTGTGAGAATGTACAGTGGGATTCAATGCCAAATGAGATGTTCCTTATTGGAGTGCTGCAAACCAGGCAATCATTTCAAATGCGTTCATTAAAAAAGAAAAAGTGTACACTTTTAGCTAATTTCTGGGTAGCCTTAGACTGCGTGAGCTGTGTTCTTTACTTCCTTTGTAATTTTCACATAGGGTTTAGTGTTTGTGTTCCCATATTAACATTTGCTGCCACATTCCACCCCAGAGGTGGCTACATTTCAGGGGAAGGCAGATGTACTTCCAGTTCTTTGGCATCTTTCTGAATAAGAAGCATGGTAGAAATGTGTGACAGATCTGCAAAAATACCCCTAATTTACCCACTGGGCCTGTATACAGGCACACGGGTGGGGTTTGCTAGCACAGAGAGGCACAGCAAAAAATCAAATTAAGTTTTGGCTTAGGGACAGCATTCATTCTGCCCATAAAAAAGAGAAAGCATAATCATAGTTTAAGAGAGGGGAATTATCGAGTGTTACTCGTTAGTGTTTGAGTAGCCACCAGTTTGCAGTCCATCTGCTGAAATGAAATGCTGACTCTAATTGAAATTGCCACCGAGATGCTTGGGAGTAAATTTCCTAAGTGGTCCATGGGAGGTATGTGCACAAATCCTATTAACAAATAAAGGGACTCCTGCCTGCACCTCTTCTATGCCTCTAAAGGTTTGACTCTGGCCCTTTGCTGGCTTTGTTTTACGCAGAGGAAAAGAAAATTAAAAGACAACAACAAGGCTAAAATGAAAGACGATGAGGGAAATATGTAGTGGCTGAGACCAGTGCTCTTGACACAGAGCTGACATTCCTCAGATGTGTGTATTCTTTGGGATTTTTTCTCAAAGGTCTTATGTATTTTTAGGTTGAAAATTTGCATTGTTGGAATTAATACTTTTATTATAATTAAATAAGAGATGTCCACATGTAAATAAAACTTGTAAGTTAGAAATTTGCTGTATACCATAATTTCATTTGTAAAGCGTTCCTTGTTCCTTGGTTTATATTTTGGGTTTAATAATGTAAAGTTTTACACATAAGCAAGAAATACTGGCCTCATCCTTGTCTGCTTTACATCAGTATTATTCAATTGATTTTATTCCTGATATGCAGCAACAAACACAAGCTCAAAATCAGGCCTACTGTCTCCTCTCATGGCTGAGTCACAGCCCCCCCTCTCTGTTCCATCTAACCTCCCTCCGTTTTGCCTTTCACGCCTTTTTGAGTGTGAAATGACAAATTAGCCACTTCCTCACATGGAAGACAGCTTTGATGGATACCAAAATGACAGACTTTACTTGTTTCTCATGCATTCTACAGATCTTGAGAGCAAAGTCTGTGGGAAATGCGTGCAATTGATGTGCACCTCATTAAGGGACCAAAACTGTTGGCTCTGAAGCCCTCGCCCGTGCTGGTGTTTGTGTGCGCATTCAGTCACAGATCTAAAATTGTGAAGGTCCAATTTGCATCGCTGTTCATTTCCTCTCTGTTGCAAGTCGGATACAGCAAAGTGTTTGTCAGATTTCAGAAAGGAATCTCAGCTTACCCACGTTTCTTGTAAAACCCGAAAGCTGCGTTTGCATGTGTTGTACAAAAGCCAGCGATACCATATGTCATTAATTTTGGATGCTTTTTTAATAGGAGATGTATGAGTTAATTAGGAGATATTAGATAGCATGCGTACAATGCTTTGATAGTGTAAAGCACTGAGTGCTAAATATTATAAAACACATCTGTGGGGAAGAGGGAATTTCTCAGCACAGGACCTTTAATCAGCAGAAAGACTGATGCTGAAGATACTAACCAGTTGTACAGTACTTTGAGAACATGCAGAGAACTTCTTGGCATTTTTGCTGCAAAATAATGTAGACCAGGCATTTCACAAGAGGCTCATCAATTTGGGTACCTTGATTTTAAGGCCAATTAAGACTACTTAGGGAAGGTATGGGGGGTATTAAACTACTACATATAAAGCACAGGATACTTAATATTCTTGGCTGGAAGATTATGCTGTCACCATACAGAACCTGCCTAGTTATTCCTTATTAGATTTTTATCAGTCCACAAAGTCCCATTTCTCTGTCTTGGGCATTAAGGAAATGAATGGAACCACACCAAGGCTATAGAATGGCAGGTGGGCTGCATTTGCAGGCACTGGCAAAGGATCCACTCTTGTCATCAGTGGTGACATGGTACTTCAATTGACAACTCTCATCACATGTTTACTTACTTCATAAAAAAGCAAAGCAGGGTCTTTTTTCATACTTTTTCTCCTCCATCAAGACTAAATAATCTGATTTTATGTTTGGGTATGATTGGGGGTTTGTATTCTACAAATGAAACCCCCCCAAACTGACTTTAGTAGAAATATGGGGTAAGGGTCTCAGTACAGGGAACATTAGATTTAAATGGTTGAATTAAAATGTTATTGCTCTTAAAAACTACTTTCATTTCTTTTATTTCAAATGTTCTTGCAATGAGATTCTTCTTACAGAAATGACCTCATCAGTCTGGGGTACAGTGGTACCATAAAACCCCAAGTGAGATATAAGACCTCTTCCATCATGGGAAATAAATTCAATATCCTCCAAACCAGTGTGTTGCATTGAGTTCATGCCACCCCAGGGAACATATGTAATAGTCCCACATAGATAAAAGTCTGTGCTTTGATACAGTGGTAAGATGAATGCTGTAGCTGGCAAGGGTAGCACACGTCATACAGTGCAGGTAATATACATGCAAGGAATCCAGGGGACTTTGGAGACCAAGGAATGAGAGAGATAGATTGACAATCACTACTGGAAGTAAGGCAGGGCTTTGTTAGGTGGGACTCAGCATTGCAAACTCAGGAACAGGAACAGGAGTAGCCGTGGGTCTTTTCCACAACCTTCAGTCCCAGAGGGAGGTTCAGAAGATGAGCTAGGCCAGAAACTGCAACAGAGGAGTAGCCCCCTCTTTTCAAAGGGGTTTAATCTTTAATGTAATTTAGAGGCTCAACTTGAAGCTTGAATTTCAGTTTGATGATTTGGGGCTCAGCTGGGCTGCTGTGAGCTGTACTATGAGCCACAACAGGCCCATAGTTAAAATGAAACTGAGCCCTACCTCTTTCAAGAGTGCCATAAAAATTTAAACTGAATTAATTTTTGGTACAGAGTGGAAAAAAAAGTTGCCTCCACATTAATATCTGTAGCTTTTAAACAGATCCCTTAGTGCATTGTTTCAAATGTCATGAGGTTCAACAAGGCCAAATGCCAGGCACTGCACTTCGGCCACAAAAAACCCCTGCAGTGCTACAGGCCGGGATGGAGGAGGTGGAAAGCGGCCCAATGGAGAAGGACCTGGGAGTGCTGGTTCATTGTGGCTGAGCATGAGCCAGCATCACCCCAGGTGGCCAAGGAGCCAATGGCCCCTGGCCTGTGTCAGGAAAAGTGTGGCCAGCAGGACCAGGGAAGAGATTCTCCCCCTGTTCTCAGCACTGGTGAGGCCGCACCTCGAGTGCTGCGTCCACTTCTGCCCCCCGCAGTTTGAAAAGGACAAGGAGATACTGGTGTGTGTCCAGCAAAGGGCAAAAAAGACTAGAGAACCTCTTCTGGGGAATGACTGAGGGAGCTGGGAGTGTTTGCTCTTGAGGAGACTCATGTGGGACCTCATCACTCTCCACAGCTCCTGAAAGGAGGGAGTGGTGAGGTGTGGGCCAGCCTTTTCTTCTGTGCCTGCCATGAGGGAATGAGAGGAAATGGCCTTAAGCTGAGGCAGGAACGATTCAAATTTGATATTAGAAAAAATCCTTTTGCTGCCTGGGTGGTCAGGCATTGGAATGGGCTTCCCAGAGAGGTGGTGGAGTCACCATCCCTGGAGGTGTTTAAGAGGCACCTGGATCTGGCACTGGGGGATGTGGTTTAGTGGTTCAAGGGTTACAAGGGCAGTGCTGGGCTGACAGCTGGACTAAATGGTCTAAAAGGCCTCTTCCAATTTTGTGGTTCTGTGATTCTAATCTTTGCTTCTATATGATCTATTTATTTGAATATGCATTCAACAGGGATTACAGTTATTAATACATTGTCTTTTTCTTCAACAAAACCTTTCTATTGACAGTACTTCAGCAACAGGTCAGTGCTCTACTGAACCAAAGGGGTTTCAAGCAGACTCTTAGAATAACCAATACAATGTGAGCTGTAGTTATAAAAATGCTGAAAACTGATATAAGCTTTAAAGCCCAACAGGGCTCTAAACTTTGCAGCAATCTTGCAGTCAGTTAAAATAAAACAGAAAATGGGATTAGCAGAAAAAGGAATAAAGTATTAACACTTACTCTGATAAACTGGTTCTGTTACTGGAAACCATTCCAACAACAGGTGTGAATGTGTGTTCATGCCATAAGCAAATACTTTCCCCTCTAAGCAGTTAAGCTGCTTGAGGTATCTAAGAACCTGAGTACTTTTCAGGTCATATGTAGATTTTGTCCCCAGTTCTTATGTCACTCATAATGAAGTAATTAGGCTAAATGCAACAGATACCCCCTGGTTTATGTGCTTTTGAGATCAGAAGATTCCTTCAGTTCAAATGGTATGAACCTCTTATTCAAACCACTATGGGTATTGATCTTCATTTAACATTTCAGATAATGAATAATTATTTGTTATCATTACTCATTGATCATGTAATCAGCCTGTGTCCCATAATAATGTCTCAATATTTAATAACAGCTAATGGAAATTGAGTTGTCTGACATTTTTTCATACAAGCTTATGTGTACAGGAGTGCATTTACAAATGTCCTATTTTCTATTTATTTTGTAACAGAGGTTAATTTGCAAAAAGCAAACATGATTTCAAGAGTCAGGGTTCATCTCAGCCTCCATTGACAGCAGAGATTAAAATCTTTCTGGAACTGAATTGAAGCCTAAGTACACTATAATCTATTTATAGCCTGGTAGTCAAATCCCAAATCTGTGTGTTGCTCCATGGAGTATATTGGCCTGGTTCTTTTTGCACACAGTTTTAGATGAGACCTGGAGGTCTAAGGAATTACATCTACATGAATGGAAAATTAAGCCCACATGTCTCTCTAATATATTCTGTTACATTTTATAAACTTTAAATGGTCTCTCTTGTAATATTTCACTATAGTATTGCTAATGTTACCCTGAACTAGGCTGCTGTCACTTGCTGAAGTGTGACATTCTTTGTAGTTGCAATCCAGATTTCAAGGTTGGTAAAGTAAGTTCATTACAGCAGAAAAAATGAAGTCATGTGAAAAAAAGTTTAATTATTAATTCTACAGAACAGATTTATAATATTTTATTTCCACATAACAAAATAGTGGTTATACTAGAATGTGTGAGAAACACCAGTATTTGTTTTCTGTGCAGGTAAGGATACATAACAAATTGTAATCTTGAGGGTCTCACTTGCCAATGTGCATTTGAAACAGCTGGTGTGACAGCTGTGGCAAGACTCATTTTTTACTTGCTTGATCTTTTCCCACTAAACCCATTGTCTCCTGCCTTTCAGACTCTGGTCTAGCAGATAACCCCACTTTTACACAGAGGAGGACTCTGGAATCAGGTATTTTGTGACATATACACACACCCCTACACAGTCATGGTATCACAGTCTGCCTTCAGGTGAAGACTTCCTTTAGCATTAACTGCAGCATTCAGTTGCAGAAGCAAACCAGACACTGTGAGGTAAATTGGAGGCCAGATGGAGTTTTTGTTCATAAAGAAAAATTTTGGGACTGGTGCTGAGAGGTCTCCTTTCTCTTTTTTCTTATGTGGTTGCTGTGTAAAATTTAAAATTAAAGTGGTTTGTGCTTAAAAGCATAAGATTTTCCACATGATGTAAAAAATATGAACAAACAAATAAACATTTCCATGTGATTGGTTTTTTATTTTAATATGGAATGCTGGTCCAGTGTCAATGCATTAGTCCAGATAGTACAAGCCACGAAAATAATGTGTCCAAACAGTTTGCTGTGACATCTGTAAGGACCCCAGACACGT